GTGCCCTCTGCGTGCTGTGGTGCGGTGCCTGGTTGTGTGATGCGGCGGAGACTTCATCGAGTGCTCCGCATCGTGATAATGCGGAGGAAACGATGACTCCAGAGGAGGTGACTGAGGCTATCGAAAAGCTCGCAGAGGGAGTGCTGGACATGATTCGAGTATCTTGTGGAATGTCTTTCATTACGAGTGTAAATGCCACGTTACCCGCGCACAACGACACAGAAGTTGAGAAATGCGTAAAAAAAACGGCGGTTGAGATTTCCGGCGTCACCCCTCGTGGCCGGCCTGCAGCCGCAACCACAGACGCCACTTTGGCCTCGCCATTGCCGTCGTCAAGTTCTGCTACCAGCGCCTTGCAGGGGCAGGCGCAAGGATCACCGGGTGCTGCACCAGAGCCTGTGAAACCCCCGCAGACAGATTCAGTCAATACCGAACAGCTGTCTGAAACGCCGGCCTCCACAGGCGGTGGTGAGTTGGCTGACAGGAGCAGCCATACACCGACCGACGTCGCAAGAACACATGAAGCACGCCCAGCTGGTAACGCCACTTCCACACCGACGGCCACTCGGGGAGATTCCGAGAAGTCACCGGCGATCACCACCCGAACACGTGAGACAAACGAGACTGACGACAGTGACGGCAGCACCGCGGTCTTCCACACCACCTCCCCTCTTTTGCTTCTTCTTGTTGCGTGTGCGGCTGCTGCTGCGGTGGTGGCCGCGTGAGAGTGAGGGAAAGAGAGCCGTGCACCGCCCGCACACACACACTCGTCCTTCTTCCATACCGAGTAGCACATCAATATTATTACTAATTTTGAAACCATGCACTACTTCTACAGAGGATTAGACGGTAATTCTGCAGCTTTACATTTCCACAAAGCTACGGGATGTGCTTCCGCCTTTATTACCGATTTGGCAAAGGGGGAGAAAAAAAAGGCAAACATGTCTGTTCTCCCCTTCCGAAAAACAAAAAACAACAAAAAAAACAACAAAAAACATTCCGCGTCTGTCCAATTTGCACTTGTATTTGCGCGCATGGAGCTTCTTGGGGGATAAGATCCAAAAAAACAACAAACAAACTAACAAACATGCGAACAAAGCAAAAAACGGAAAACAAAAAACAAAACAAAAAAAAAAAAAAAAAAAAAAGAAGAGAGAGAGAAAGAGATGCGATCTCTTTTTCTTTCTATTTGCGAAGCGCACTCAAGTCGAGTGGGCGTATACTAGGTGGAATATGGAGTTGGTTTGTGGGAGACGACTCCTGTGATACCACGACCAGTGGGGTCTCGTTTGTAGCATGTGAGAACATTCCCCAACCTTCTGAGATATCGGTGGAAGGAGGCGTGATCGTCGGCCACTGCATACGATTGGAGGTTGATGCAGACTCCGATGTTTCATGTCTCTCTATCCCTGCGTTCCCTGGAGCATTTTCATCATTCACAATCTCCAGCTGCTTCTCATCAGTTTTCTTTTCCTCAGCGGCTAAAGGTAACGACCCAATCGTGTTGACTTTAGGTTCGGGGTGATGCTCTTGTGATATTACTTCCCTTTCCTTCTTTTTCCGGTCCCTTAATGCCCCTAACAAATGATTTTTCTGTGGCTTCAGCAAACGGTGTGCGAGTACACTTGCGGGGAACTGTAGCGACCGTACGCTCTCCGACGGCTTTCGGGATTCCCCCACTAATGTCGCTGTCGGCGTTGCGTCGTGGGTCTCTCTTCTATGATGCGAGGCCTTTGACGCCTGTTGCACACTGTGGGGTGGTGCTCCTGGCGTAGGTTTCATTGAAAACCTCTTTATCAGAAAACCACGTTCCCATGGATTCTTTTTGTGGGCAGGGGAATTTTCCTCCCAAGACGGAGGCGCTATCTGATGATGTTGCCTTTTTTCTTGCATTCTAATGGCATCGTTATATAACCGCTTCCATGGAGAGATGTGGTGTTTTTCATGTAACTTAATATTCCCGTCCAAGGGAGAACGGGAAGTACTTTTTTCTAAAGATATTTGAGAGGATGTTGTCCTTTTACGATGTCCCTCGTGTCCATAAGACTGCGGTGTTCCGGTTGTTTGATTCCCTGTGATAAGTCGTCGCTTCGATTGCGGTGACACCATTTTTATTGGCTCCTCCTGTGAGGTTCTTTTCTGTCGCGGGTAAAGACGTGTCACCGGCTGTTGGATGGTATCAGCTTTTGTTTGCTTCACCCCTGTCAGTGGTCCGTTGAGACGGTACGCCTCCAATTCCTTACGAATACGTACTCGAAGCTCGGCAATAGAGACATCCTCGTAGTCACTACTATCTGCCGCTTCCCATTTTACATTCGTTGCCACACCATGGTTTGTGGAGTATTGTGTTCCCTTAGCAAATGGCATTGTTTCTCGATGCCGCACGTGTACGGCTGTTTTTTTTTGCTTTACATTTTCTGCGTGTTCCCGTTGAAGCAAAAGTAATTCAGTTGCCGTGCGTTGGAAGGTGGTATTCGGGGACATTTTCCATGTAACGTGGGCAGTTGGGGATCTTTGTGTTACGCTTCGTCGCTTTCGTTTCATGGAGAAGAGGGAATTTGTTTTTTCCCCTTCATTTATACTGGCGTCTCCTTTACGATGCATGGTACCATGTGGTGGTCCCGCTTCCTTACTACCTTCGTCATATAATAAATTCTGACCACGATGCAGCAGTTTCTCAATGCGTTCAATAGAGTGTTGAATGTCTCCAAGTTCACGTTGTGGCATACTTCCCTCCGATAACTTACCGGAGACCATGTCATCATATATCATTGTGTTTGCTTGTAGACTACTAGCCGTTTGTGTGTTTGTGTGTGTGTGTGGGAAAAAACAAATGGGAAATGCCGTTTGCAAAAAAAAAAAAAAAAAAAAAAAAAAGAAAGTGCAACGGATGCCGATGCCGTTGCAGTTGATGTGACAAATGAGTGGGATGATGGGAGGGATGGAGATCTTATGTATAAAAAGGGAGAAGAAAAAAGAAAAAGGAAACTGAGAAGTAAGACGTCTTGGGTGTTTATTTCTTCTATTGCCATATGGTATTATACATTCCACACTTTCCCACTCTTTCATGTATAAAAGAGAGGAGAGAGAGAGAGAGAAAATTATTATTATTATTTTTTTTTTTTTTGCATGTGGTAAAGCTCTATTCGGGGCTCCTATATATATTTATATGTATATGTATGTATGTATATTACTCCCTTTTTCTCCCCTTCATGCATACACTCTATAGAGAGAAAATAAAATAGGAGAGCGGGTGAATTACCATAAGAATGACTTTTCCATTGGACCCATTTAAGTGTGAATTGCCTATGTGACAATTTACTCCCACATCAGGGAAGATATGCCATCGACATATAGCGGTGGCTCAAGCACTCCGCCTGCTGGCGTACTTCCATAAGGGATTCATTACCGGTTGAACGCCAGTTACACAGAACAAAATACAACGTAGGGTCTGTCAAGAATGCCACTCGCCGCAGTGTATGACTGCCAAACTGCAAACAATACCGACGAAATACGGGAGAGGCAAAAGGCATACTGCTAAAATTTCGGCTAGACGATAATTTCTCCACATTTCTCCTTTCCGTATCGAATTTACCATCGCCAATGTCACTTCCTAGCGGCAACTGAGATTTCCTCAGTTTACGCCATTCATTTTGGCGATCCAGCTGTTCTTTTCGTGCCAAAACACAACGCATGGTGCCCCGCTGCGTCAGGCTCGCAGGCATGTTTACACGCCAGCTACAAAAAGCATCCACCGTTACAACGCGGAATCTATGATTTGTCACCACCGAGTTGTACCGTCGCATCACGGCATCAAACGGTGTAATAATTTTCTCACCGAATTTCTCAGGGAGGTGCGCCGAGGCGTTGCCGCGGGAATATCGAACCCACGCACACATTTTGGGTCGGTCGTCGGTATCCGTTAAGGTAGCTGACATCTTGCTTCGTGCCGTCAGCGCTTCCCACTCTCGGTCTGTGGCCTCCAGCAGATTCCGTGTATCCACAACCCGTGGATCCGCCAAGTGCGCCAAGTTTGTCGTGACAGCAGTTTTGCCGTACCCTGTAAAAGCATCTACGGCGGGCAGACGCGAGGGCCGAGTCCGGGAGTTGTTTAATGGCCCTTCTTGAATTTCCTCCTGCGTCGGATGCGAGCCAACTTCTGACGTACCGCCACTACCCACAGCGGCCCGCCCATGTATGTCTGCTGCGTGTCGACGCCGGTGCCTCTCTAACAACTGAAATGCAAGCGCACTTGCCGTCCTCTCTGCATTACTCAGAGGAAAGGTGGCCAACGTCTCCTCTCTTTCCCATGCACACTGCTGCTTCTGCTGCTGCATGACCGGCACGCTGCCATGCGTGCGCCGTCGTAGCCGACCACAAATGACACGAGAAAACCTCATTCCTTCCTTTGGGCTTGACGCGCCTCGCAGCAACAGCGAGTCATTCAAATAAGTAACAAAGTGCGGAAGGCGGACGGGGTTAAAGAGAAGTGAGGCGCCACACACACAGAAGAGGATAAAACAACAACAACAACAACAAAAAAAAAAACACCCTGACGACTACTCGTCAAGAAATAGAAGCCAATATTTCACCCTCACGCTGGAAGAATGCGGCAAATCAAGTAAATATCGACCAGCGACAACCACAATCTCAAATCCACACACAAACACACACGTACATACATACACACGGGTACGCATATTTAAAAATTCCGTCCTCAACGCCTAGAATTCTTGTGTCCAACAAAAAAGATTACACCACCATGACGGCTTTCTGCGTCTACCTTCTTGACATTTATGCACGTCTGTAAGTGTGCCATTGATGATTCTTTGGTTTCTTTGGGCAATCCCGCACCTCATGGCTCTCATCTCCACAAAAAAAACAACATTTTCGTGCTGACCGCCCATCGCTCTGGAAGTAAAGTTGTTCTCCCGGCTCCTGTACTGCCATAAGCATCCGTCGGAGGAGGCCACTCTGCACACCTGGACAGTTGGGTGACAAATGGCCAGGATCAAAGCAGCGATAACATGTTGCGTTTTTGTTAAATGTTGGGTCATCCGCACGCTCAATAAGCATGCGTTGTCGAAGACGCTCAGACACGCTATTACGGTTATATAACTCTTGGACAGGATGCCCCATAGTACACTTGGGTCCGAGCGGACAAAACCCTGCCATGTAGAATGGACAGGATGGACGAAAAACATGCCGGAGATGACATTTTGGTCCAAGTGGACAGAATCCGCGGCGGTAGGCGGCACATTCCGGTTTTTTCTCCACCTGTATGACATGCTGAAAAGGACACTCCGGGTTCGTGCATTCTCCTAGGCGTTGATAGAAGGCACACAACGGCACATACCGGTCGTCATACTCATGCAGGTACAGACAATTTTCACCATTGACGCAGGCACCACGAAGCCAATGTTTACACACCTCCAGACGCATCGTCTTGAACTGTGAGATGACATGACGCTCCGGGCAGGCCGTACCATGGCGACACTTCCCGTGTTGAAAGGGTTGACAGATCTCACGCCGCTTGACGGTGGCATGCGGTTCATCGGGGAGGGCATCTTCAAATGCGAGTGAAGTGTGCGCGGCGGAATCGGTGAACATGGCGACGCGCTACACACACACACACACACACACACAAAGAAGAAGAAGAAGAAAAAGATAGAAACAAAGACAAGCGCCACTAAACACCGCACGGCTCGTCACCCTGAAAGAGAAATAGAATGAAGTCGTGAAACCAAAAAAAAAAAAAAAAAAAAAAAAAATAGGAGAATTGTGTGCGTGAGTAAGGAGAAAATTAATAATAATAATAATAATAATAATCATGGCAAGACATCTCCCCCACCCGTTGAAGGGACTTTTTTTTTTTTTTTGTTTGTTTCTTTACTACTAAACTTCCGAGCTACATAACGGCCGTTCAAACGCCACCGGTGCACTGCGGAAAAAGTAGTGGTCCAAAAATGCTTCCAACGCCAATATGTTCTTATCGTCTTCATCTTTATCCTCAGCAGCGGCAGCGGCACTATCAGTGGGGTGGCTATCCTTCAAGAGCTCAAGACTCCCGCATGTGTCCCCGCTCCTGCACAGTGTGTGCAACGCCCCGCACACTTCACGAGGCGAGTACCTTGTGGGAAGTCGTTCCACGCCCTCTTCCTCACGCTTGCCCGTCGTCTCATCGTCGCCCCCATTCATGCCCCCGGACTGGCGGTCAAATACACCGCGGTACGTAATAAGCCCACGCTGTCCCTCCATCGGACGATCCCTCATTTCCAGGTAGCGGATAATATACTGGCCAAGGTACTGGTGCATCCGCCGCACCACGTCCAGAGCGGAGGACACAGAAGCATCCGCACTGCTCTCACCCACACGCAACAGCTCCAGGAGCACATGCTCCAACAATCGCCATGTGGGCAAACAACGTGAGGACAAGGAGAGACGCACGCAACAGATATCTTTAAGCACAAAAAGCAGCGTGTCTGCTGCTGTCCTCAATGACATGTCATAAGACATCTCTCGATGCATCATTGCCGTAAATGCAAGCTTCACCCAGTACAGGATGCAGTAATGGTACATCACATTGTCCATTTTTCCAAGCGCCGTGCGAGCCGCTTTGGATGGTAATGGCAAGAGGTCACTCGCAACCCACCGCGATGCATCGTCCTCCGTGTTGTGGAGTGAAAGAAGTGTCAAGGCTGCCTCTTTCCACTCCCGTCGTGCCCAAGAAGAAGAAAAGTCCACCTGCCTACGTCCCCTCTCCAGCAGGTTATACGCCTCTTCCACATGACCCTCGAGAAAAGCCAGGCGACGCGCCAACGACAGGGAATTTGCATCACTTTCCCTGTGACGAGGCCGTCGCCAGTCGTCTTCTACACACGGCACAAAAGACTGTTTTGCTTCCATGGGCTCCATCCAATAATAATAATAATAATAAAAAGACAACAAAAACCCCACAAACACACGCACAAAAAAAAAAAAAAAAAAAAAAAGGAAAACAACAACAACAATAATAAGAAGAAGCCCACACACCGTCACAATTTAATGTTCTCCTTCTCTCTTTCTCTCTTTCTCTCTCTCTATGAAACTTACAAACAAAAACAAAACACAAATCTCTCGAATATTGTGCAGAATGCATGGAACGACGGTGAGTTGAATTCCACGTGTTGCATTGGGCAGAGCTCAATTGAGCCACAGCCAAAACAACAACAACAACAACAATCCATTATCCACCATTTCTTTATTATATTCACGTATCCAATTCTCTCTTGCTGTCTCTCTCTCTCTTTCTCACATTCCTTCCCCCTTTCTTCTTCTTCTTTTCATATTCGCCGTTCCCTTTCTTTTCCGTGGTATTTACTCCTTCAATTCTCTGTTCCGTAAAAATTATTTTTTTTTGCTCTTCCTTTTCTTCTTTTGGTTTGCGTCCTCTAGTAAAGGAAAATCTACCAAAGCAAAAATCTCATCTTCTACATCCATCTTTTCTCTCTTTTCTTTTCTTTTCTTTATCCCCTTTTTCTTCCTCAATGCTGAAAAAGAATAGGGAAAAAAAAAGGGGGAAAATTCTGACAAAAAATAAATAGAAATAGAAATAGAAATAGAAATGGTTCTTGCAACCCTCCCCACCTCACCAATACATGTTATATTGATTGACAGGTACTTCTCCATGTACACACGCTTCTTTACACCTCTCCTCTACGCTCCGCTTCCGATATTATAAATTTCTCAAATTACCCAACGCAAGCTTCTTCACAACGGTGGACTGAACGCCCCACTGGGATTGGATCCAAAGGGAGAGCCATGTTTTGATTGCCTCATCGTCAAGGGGAACGTCACGGCCACGAAAGTCACGCACGATTGTTTGTCCATACTCATCGGCGTAAAGGCCACGATATTGCAGATGACGGCCTTGGACTGTCAAAAGCACAAGAAAGACGTTCGTTGCGGGGTGAAGGTAAATACCCAGACCGTTGCCACAGGTTCGTGCGTGATCATACAGCTCAGGCGGTGTCAATGACGGGCGCAGGCAGAGGGAATGACCACAGAGAGCACACCACACACGTTGGGCCTCATTATCCCCACACACGCTACACGGCTCCGAGGAACTCATTTTAAGAAGCAAATCCCCAAACGTGTTAGACAAATGAAACACTCGGCACACAATAAATTTTCTCCACGACATTGGGCCATCATACGGCACCAGCAGCGGTTTACATTGCATGAGTTCTGCTGGAGGAGTCCCACTCAGCCATGCTGTTGGCTCTTCCCTTCCATTGACAGCCGTCACACTGTGGACAAGCGATGATAGTGCGGTGCCTACATCCCTCCCTGGCTCCACCTGGAATGGAACTTCCAGCAGGTAACACAGCATTGTGAGCACGGCACGCTGCCGACCCTCCAATGTGATAAGAGCCTCCGAATTCAAAGGAAGCAAAGTCACGCGGTCATCTTCGCATCGCACCACTTCTGAAGGAGAGGTATCTAGGATTAACACTTTAAGAAGTGTGAGGCAACCAAGTTCTCTCCACATGGCAACAAGAAGTTTATTATAAGCGTCCATGTTTCCTCCTCCTTCTTCTTCCTTTTCAGATGCTGATTGAATAATTATACCATGATCACTTGAAAGGATAAGTAGCCTTGTATATAGCGCAAATGATGCTGCCGCCCTTTCTGGACAATGTAAAAGATTTACCAGAAGTAGGCATAACTCATCACCCTTACGATAAAACTCCTTTTTAAGCTTTGCGGCATGAGATGCAAGGAGACTCACATCGATTGACACAAGAACCGAAAGCAATGTCAACAATTCATTGTACCGCACCTCTCCACCCGCCTTCACCCATTCCAACGTAACACACATTTGATTCCGAATGGTACGAATGGTCTCCGCCAAAACCCATACTTCTGGGTCATTCAGTTGTAGTTCACTCGGCTTCACCAGGGCATCTTCACCTGATAAACGCGCTGATGGGGCACCAACGGTTGCACGCGCTATTTCTTGATGCAGCTCTGACACATCTTCGGCCACCTTCAGTGTGTCGCTGCGCACGTCTTCAAAGAGTGATGCTGATGATGATGATGATACCGATGACAATCGTTCTCCAGCACTAAATGCTAGTGTGGGTAACGGACAAAGCGTCGTACAGACCATGACACAGATAGGACAGTTAAAATCCTTTGGGCCAAAAATTGAGGGTATACTGGCTCGAAAAACTCTTTCCAGAATCAGGCCAATTCGCCCAATCATTTTTGCCACACATTTCCTATGTGCCGCATGTCCACAGAGATGAATTTGCCCATTCACTTTATACGCCATCGGTGCTTCTCGTTCGGATTCGTCAAAACGTAGACGATAGAGGGTGTCTGAGGTAAAGGTACTCGCAAACAGCATCAATGGCTCATTTGAGGGATCACGACACATGCAGCACTCAACTTCTGCAAGTCGTAGAAGCAATGTGGCCATGACAGATTTGGAGGAAACCGCAATCCCTCTTACATCCCGCACGGAATCCCCATCCATTTTGACATTATCGTCCAGGGAGGCAACGATAGTGGCAGCACTTTTGGCATCATTCGCCTTGACACGTCGTAAAAGCATCGCCTGCCTTTCTTTAAGCCGAAGACGCCGCTGTTCATTTATTTCACTTCGCGTCTTCTGTTCGGCCTCTTCTTCGTTTGCATGTGGCAATGAGGATAATGCCTCCACACTATGCAAGATATACCCTGTCATTGCAGCAATACCGTACATGTCTTTCTCCGATTCACGGTATTGGGTGTAGATTTGATGAAGTGCCGATATGGTTGTTACACCCTTTGAGGTTTTACGTAAGAGGAAATCACGCTTTGTATTCGGTACCAAAGGAATCTCAAGTTTTTCCTTCAGCGTCGTGGCATCCATGATCCCCTCAACGAGAAGTAATTGCTTAAGACCTTCCCATGTGTAACCAGACGGCGGCATAAATTGTTGTTGAAACGTCTTCACCATATCCCAATCAACCCCACGCATAGGGCCTTGGGTGAAAGATGATGAAAAACTGCTGGCAGAGGAGCTGATAACGTGGCATGCCTGCATAGAGATGTATAGGACAGATATCGCATGAAGTAACGATCGTTCTGACATGGATACATTCGATGTCTTCTCTTTTTTCCCCATCACAAAGGAAAGGTACATGTGCACCGCAGCAATGGCTACAGAGAGCACCGCAGGTGTTTGTAATAGGAGACATACTTTGTGATGCACCATGTTCTCGGAACCCATCGTATTATTCCCCTGTGTTTTGCCTGGCTGCTCCTCTAGCCATGGTAGCTTTGGCAGTGGAAACACCACTCTCGACGCCGAAGATGATGATGATGTTGTTGCTTTTGTTGTGGCCCCCGTCGCTTCTCTCTCTCGCGCCATTTGTTCCCGTCGCACAAGCCGCTCATACAAATCCTGCAAGTCCTGCAAAGCCTGATCCCTAACAAGCGGATGATAGAGGTTCACATTGGATCGCCATGTCGCCGCATCCTTCAAAGCAAATACTTGTGTGCGATGACGCTGCTCAGTTACGGCGACCTCCCCTAGAATGGATGGAAGTAGAGTACTGGGATCCAGGCCGGGTATGAGATACTTGAATCGACCCGCAATTATCTCCATAATGTGAAAGGAAAAATCATTGGACACCACCATGCCATGCACCGCCTCTCGCTGCAATACCCGCCTCAAATCATGTTCGTCATGGATGACGGCAGCCCACTCCGTGAGGCAGAGAGTGAGGATAAGCCGTAGGAACAATGGATACCAGGAACCACGGGGTTCATTTGCCTTCGTCACGGCATGCCGCTGCAGCAACTGCGTAGCAAACGCCTCGGATGGTGTGATTAGCATAAGGACATACAGCAAGTAAATGTCATAATCCATCTCCGGTGTGGTGTTATTCAAATAATACAGCGAACGCAACGTCACATCGCATTCATCACGTCGCCAAAGTCCCCGTTCAATTTGTCCCAGCAAAACAGATGGCATGAGACATTCATCAATCCAGTAATCGGTCTTCGCCTGCGTCGACGCAAAAACCTCCGATACAAGAGAGTAGAAAGTCTCCACGCCACGGCTGTGATCACCGGAATTTGTACAGACGTCATCTTCCACAGGTGAATCCTTCTTTATGAAATTCTGTTGACGCAGCAATCGTGTCCACACCTTCACAAGCATGGCAAAGAAACGCATGTGTGGTATGACAAAAGAAGTCGGATTGGGTGACTTTTCGTCTAGTAGATCGTAACGCGGTAACATGTGTTCCGCATCCTGCCCGGAGAGAACATAATTGACTGGTTTAAAGGCATTTCGCTTTTCCGCAAGTGCCGCATTAATAAACTCCAAACATTCCATCAACATTTCTCGCATATATACCCGACATGGTCCTCCCTCCATATCCATGTTGTTTTCAGAGAAAAACAGAGATGATGCATGCTGCAAGTTGAGTGTATCAAGCACCTGTCGGTGATAAGGATACCCAATCGATACATCGGGCACCTTATCCCACACAGGCGGCAAAGATTGCAACAATTTCTGCTGCGATACCGGAATGGGCTCGCTACCTGACAACAACGCGTTCCCAACGATAAGCACCATATGAGCTACGAGGTTAAATGAATGCCGTAGCTCCGCTTCCATCATCATTGCATAGTCCTTATCCACATTATCATTCTCCGAACTTGAGGTTCGTGTCTCTCGACAAATTTTACTACTTGTTCCAATCAGACACAGTGCCTTGCACCAGGCACGGAATAACTGTCGTGAAACAACCATCACCTTGACGTTCTCTGACGCAGATAAAACATTTTCAAACCAGTGACACGCACAAAAGGCAACTTGTGTGAGCTCTGGAAGGAGTTCACGGTCCTTGTGAACATAACAGCAAACGTACAACAATGTCGAGAGGAGTCGGTGGAGAATCGTTTCGCGACCAATGACACATTCCCATTGCGGATTTGGTGTTTTTTGTAGAAGATCGTCCACAACTTCCTTCACGGAGAGCACTTGAACGGAGAGATCCTTCACATGTCGATGCTGCATTACGGAGAGTCGTTCACCGTATTTCAACAGTAATTCCGCAACCGGGACACGCAGTAGCGGATCACTGATGCATCCATCAAGCAAATACAGAAGGGAGTTCTCCCAGATGATAAACCCCTTCAAATCCACAAGCGTCATATTCTGAAGAAAAATTTCTTCCGCACAAGAGTAACGTACATAAACTTCCTTTTCTTCACCATCCACGTTAAATACTATTGGACGCTTCAATAATGTCTCCCCCATCAAAGAAAGGCACATCAAACGTCGTGAACCCTCCCCTGCGTTTGCCAGGTACAACGACAGGGCCACCGTTCGACGTAATGTTCTATCAAACCATCGCATCGTCAAATCCCTATCTTTTGATTCATTAGAGTCCTTTACATATAGTGTGAAAAACTGCATAATTGTCACCTGATAAAGCGATAACCCCCGTGCTACCACCTCAAGCCATCTTTTTTGCACGGGAGGCAAACTTGCGGTGGGGTCATCATTCTTCTGGAAGCCCCTGTGCTTTGAACAAAAGGAGGCTGAATTCCATGCCATGGGATCACCACAGTCACACAACCCGCCACCCCCGCCATACCGTACGGTGTGCTTGTGATTTCTACAAGGTGAGTTCTGAAAGCAATCCGCACAGAACACACACATTGAGTCCACTGCACATTCCAGACAATGGGCGATGGCTTCGTGCTTCGTCAGTGCCCGTCCACAGACGCGGGGTGCACCTTGATTCTCCAATCCCCGACGCGCCTCATCGTCTAGCGTCATCACCAACCACCACTCCAGCGCTGGCAGCTTACCTGCCAAGTAGCATTCATGTAAAGTGTCTTTGTTCAGCCTTGCCAGGCCGGCTTCCACGACAGCCTGCAGCTTCTCCGGATTTTCACGAAATACCGCGGCGCAGTCAGAGTGAGTGCGACGCACCAGAAGCTCCGACGACGACGTGTCAAGAAGATCATCTCGTCCCACCGGATGTTGTGAGAAGTCATTCGTGGCGTAAAATTCGTTTAGATCTGTCCGCACCAGCAACTCCCACTTTTCCCGGAGTGGCCTATTTACCTCCCTTACCTCCGTAATACCTGCCACTTGGTGCAATGCGGCATATGCCATAACCTGCCGCGTGTCCCAGCTCGCCGGTTCCATCGGCTGAAGAACTCTCCCGAACACCATGATCGACTATGGGAGGCGCACAATGAAAAACTCCAGAAAAAAACAACAACAAAAACAAAAAGCTGTAAAGAACCACGCAAATTAACAGCTATGCGCCAGCAAATACACACGCAAAAAAAAAAAAAAATAAAAAAAAATAGTAACAATAATAATATAATAAAATAAACACCACCCCACAATATCAATAATAACCCCCTACTCACCCTTGTTCCAACAAGAGAAACACACACACATCCATATATATATATATAGACATGTGTGTGTGTGTGTGTACATGAGTTTATGTACACCGACAGACACGGTGTCGCCAGCGCCATCCAGTAAAAGAAGAAAAAAAAAAGAAAAGAAAAAGAAGAAGAAAAAAAAAAAGCAGGAGAAACGTATGAAACAACAAACATGCATACATTCAAATAAGCAAGAAAAAATGAGCGTCATACCACGCATCATTGCAATCTAGGAGGAGATACACACCCACGCATATCCACCACAAATGATGCATTGATAAAACAACAACAATTATAACAGAAACAAACGAAAAAAAACAGAAAAAACAAACAAACAACAAAAAAAAACTTTTAATTGAATAAAAACATGTTTAAAATTAATAAAAACAAAATTTTTTAAAAAGAATTTGCATGTCGCGTAAAAAAAACAACAACTACCACATAGACACACACAAAACAAAAAAAACAAAAACAAAAACAAAAACAAAACAAAAAAAAAACAGAAAAAAAAAAAAAACAAAAAGGCTCCCGTTCTCAATAATAATAATAATAATAATAATAATAATATCATTCTATCAAAAAAAACATATTACCCCAGAGAATCCAACACCAAAATATATTTCTTCCTCTTTTTTTTTTTTAATGAGGAGATATTGTCCACCCTTTCCAAATACACTAATAATAATAATAAAAATAAAAACAACAATGGAAATAAACGAATATCCCTCCATTTTACTCTATTAGCTTCCTGTATGATTACTATTATGTATTACCGTGTGGCTCTTGCCACTAAAATTCCGCGTCGAGAGAGAAAACCTTTGTAGTCCCCTCCGAACTCATTACACCCGCCTTTTGGTACTCACCGACCTTCTTCTCAAAGAAGTTTGTCTTTCCCTGCAGTGAGATCATTTCCATAAAGTCGAATGGGTTCTTTGAGTTGTAGTGACGTTCGTTGCCAAGTGCCACCAGCAGCCGATCCGCCACAAACTCGATGTACGTCGACATCAAATCTGCGTTCATCCCCAGCAGCCGCACAGGGATGGCGTCACAGATAAACTCACGCTCAATATCCACCGCACTGCAAATAATCTCGCGAATACGCTCCTTTGGTAACTTGTTCACAATGTAGTTTTCGTACAACAGGCACGCAAAGTCCGTGTGCAAGCCTTCATCACGCGAGATGAGTTCATTACTGAACGTCAGCCCGGGCATCAGACCACGCTTCTTTAGCCAGAAGAGCGCACAGAAGGAGCCGGAAAAGAAAATACCTTCCACCGCCGCAAAGGCAACAAGGCGTTCGGCAAACGAACTGCTGCTGCGGATCCACCGAATCGCCCAGTTGGCCTTTTTCTGGATGCACGGAATTGTCGAAATGGCGTGCAACATGCGGTCCTTCTCCTCCGTATCTGTGATGTACGTATCCAACAACACCGAGTATGTTTCCGAATGAACGTTCTCAATGGCAATCTGGAACCCGTAGAAGCAGCGCACCTCCGGTACCTGTACTTCCGTCATGAACCGCTGCGCCAGGTTCTCCAGCACAATTCCATCACTTGCGGCAAAGAACGCCAGCACGTGCTTGATAAAGAACTTCTCCCCTTCGTTCATCTTCTCCCAGTCCGCCAAGTCACTGCTCAAGTCGATTTCCTCCACCGTCCAGATGCTGCTCTCGGATTCCTTGTACTTCTTCCAGATATCGTGGTACTTGATCGGAAAGATCACGTAACGGTCAGGATTCTCGCGCAAAAGCGGTTCTTCCTGCTCTTGCAATTGAAATTCACGCGGATGCTTTTCCCCAGACATTTTTGTAAAAAAAAAATAATTATATATCTATAATTTTATAGCTTGTTTAGCGCAAAAATTTCAGTCTACACGTGTGAGTGTGAGTGTCAGGTAAAGCACATGAAGAAAAAAAAAAAAAAAAAAAACAAAAAAAAGAAAAAAGTCATGTTTTAAGCGCGGCAGTTTTGCAGCATGATATTTATGTATCTTGCTATTTAGGTGTGGGCATATAAGTGTGGCAGTAGAAGTAGGATAGCTCGTTTGTATCACAACATATATATATATATATATATTTTCTTCTCCCCGCAGAGTAAATGGTTGTGTATGTACGTATTTATGTATGTATGTGTTTGTATGTTTGTTTGATTGTTTGATGTGATGAGAACTCTTTATGCAAATATGTTGGGGGTACAAATGTGTGTATTTATCCAGCCGATAATAAAACGTTATTTCTTTTTCTACTCTTACCTACAAGTCTAGCTAAACGATGCCATCTGAGTGCCAAAAAATGTGGTCGAGAAGCGACAAAAGTTTCCTGCTATGAAGCAACTGACATTGAGTCAAAATTCTCGCTGAAAATGTCAACCCTTGCCGTCCTGGGAACAGCGTCCGTCCCCGGTGCAGTTGGATCGTTGTTAGAGCGCATATATGCAGACTGTTCTGGTGAGATGTTGCAGAAACGGCATTGGTTCGTGCAATCTCTCACAGCCCAGTATAGTCTGCCCCAGAGCTCAGATTCGCCGCACCTTGCCCTTGCGAGGTGAACCAGTTCTTGACGATGAAGAACCTCCTGAGTGATCAGGTCCTTACCGCTGAGATCGGATGGCCCTGTGCCGCAAAGCAAGTGGCAATGAGTGTCTTGACGAATGGTACTACGCCACTTGTTGGTGAGCTGGGTAGTAAAACATGTCAGCAGATCCGTATGCCATAAAGGTGCAATTGCTTGCTCCGTGTATTGTCCAGTCTCCATAGTCTGCGTCGCATACTGATCTGCAAGCTCGTTAGCATGTACTCCACAATGTCCGTAACAAAACTGCAGGTGCACGGACCAGCCAGCACACGTCAGTGTCAAGAGACGCTGCCAGATCTGATCCTCCGTCCAGTCTGTCTGACTGAGCGGACCCTTGTTTAGAGCCGCAAGAAGAGACTGACTGTCTGTAACCACAAGCAGGGTTTTAATAAAGGGAGTTATACTTCTTGTCATTTGCTTTGTTATTTTTCAGGCGGTATTGGTGGCGGCGGGCGGGCAGTGATAGGGTGTTTTCATTTACTTCTTGTTCTGCTCTTGTCAGTTGATAAATTCCTTTTGATTAGTCTTTTTTTTTTTTTTTTTTACATTTCCGTATTTTATTTTTGGTTGGTATGTGGTAATGGTAAAAATATCCTTGCATACCGGTTTATGGGTTAGTGCCGGTGCTTGATGTGTGTAAAGTGCGCAGTTCCCCAATGTAACGGCGCATGGCTTCGTCAGAACTCATTCCTTTAAGCTCGTTCCATGCCTCCCACTTGGCGCGGCCAACAAGGTCCATCATCCACGGTTTGGGCACATTAACGTCACCGATGGTTGCTTGCTTGTAGAGGCCATAGAACTTCAGTTTGGTGGTGTCACTGACGTGTTTCGCCGTGGCGGAAAAGAGAACCTGGGCAGCCTCAAAGTCATCCCGGATGCTGCTTTGGGCCATCTTTCCTCCCGTACCGTCTTCCTCCACCTCTTCCTCACAACCACCGCCGCCATCACCTGTGGTCTTTCCTTCTCCCGCCTCCTCTGGGTATAGAGATGTGTAGATGGCTTGTAACGACGTGGCGCCTCGCTGGAGTCGAAGCCGCATCTGCTCACATACACGTTGTAGGGCGGGACTCTCATCGTCCTCTGTCGCATTGTCGATGTCGGTTGGGGTCGCCCCTGCTGAAACTTCTCCTTCGGCGCATGAACGTAACATGGCGCGTCGTTGCGGACATGTTAGTGGCCGATCTCTCAGACTGAAAAAAAACTTTTGGCACATGCTAAGCCAGTCTTGCAGAAAATGTTGTGTCTTCTTGTTTTTTTCACTTCCAACAAACGCGCCTGCTGTTCCCCACCATTTTTCCGCGCTGAGCAACACCATTTCCACCAAGGCCCAGTAGAACATTTCTACCCGGGACTCAAATTTTTTGGCGGGTGAGAAGGGGGTTTCGGCCAACCACAATTCTTCAAAGCGCTCCGCGTGGGTTGCCGGTTGGGAAAGAAGGTACGCCCGCAGGGGCGAAAACTCACCAGGGACATCCACCAACAACACCTCCACCTTTTTGCTTAACAGTTGCACATAACTTGAGTTTGTAAGGAACGCCGCTACTGTGGCACCAGCAACGATGGCGGCAATAAATGTGACTGGCATTCCATCGGAACATGAGACAAAGTCATCTTGCTCAATGATGTCCAGAAATCGTTCAATTGAACAGTTGCCTGAGACGAGGCGAGACAAGACAAAAAGAAGTCCACTCCATAAGTGGTTTGAAGAGATCATTTGCCCACTCTTTTTAAGATTCCACAGCGTCATTTGAAAGTCACTGAGAACGTTCGCCTCATGATCCTTCCGTGCGGATCCCGGTGGTTTACTTTCCAAAGACGCCTTCTGTCGATAATTCGTCCACGTGACAAGAAAGGCAAGTTGTTGGTGCTCCTGCGGTTTACATGATAACATGAATGGGGGCAATGTTGCCTGTTGTGGATGAAAGCCACGGGGTAAACCCACACCATGGGATACCTCCCTGCTTGTGGCATTTTTCCCGCCTCCACGTGAACTGCTTCCAACGACCTCCATGCGTTTTCCATGAACAACCGGTAACAACAGACCACAGCAGATTTCCAAAATGTCACAAAGCGTGACAAGATCTCCATGACACACTTCATACAAAGTATCACATTCCACTATTAGGCTTGGGAATCGAACACAAAATTCCGGCAAAGCGTCACAATGCGCTTGAACCATGCGTGTTGCAAACCCGAATGCCGGGCCCTCTTCCTCCGCATTCGTGTCCTTCCCATTCGAATGGCTTCGTTCATACAAGAGACACTTCAAGAGTGGTTTCAACGCAGTCGTCACACAGGCAACGCTGCATACCTGTGGGCGGTTTTCCGTATCACTGGCCTCCTGGTCAAAGAGGACAACAGTACCACCCAACTCTTTTCGTACCTGGCACTCCATGATTTCGCATGGCAAATGTCCAGCGTCTTTAGAAGAGGATCCTTCCTCTGCAAAGGAAGCCTTAGCTGTGTCATCTGAAGCCATCTTAGCCAAGATCTTTTTGTTGGTTTCATTCGAAACATTTTCCAGCACAGTGAAGGCATGCTTTTGGTGAAAATTCAACAATGCCCTGACCGCCTCCGCATGCTCCATGACAAGCGCCAGGTGAAGCAACGACCATTCATCCGGCAATGCTTCCATACCGTCATCTTTATTCGTGGGATCAGCGTCGGGGTCGTCCAGAAGACTCACGTAGACTAACAGGGGTCGGTACACCCGCTCCACCGCGGCGTCCACACAATTCTCAGTTTGAAGCATGCGGCAAATGCCGTCCAAATACGCAGCCGGATCGGCCGGCTGACCGTCCGGGGTGCAGAGAAGAAAAGTGACGGGTTCCCTCATGTGCCATCTGTGAGTCCACATCAACATTGTTTTTTCTTTGTTGTCGTTTTTATTATTTTTTGGGGGTCCAAATCCACCGAATACCGCGACAAACGCAGTAAAAACAGCAGCGTCGGCTGCGGTTCTCAGCCTGTCCGTTTGGGCGCCAAAATCTCCCCCGCCTTTCCCGCCCCCACACGCACGCACCAACTCAGTTTCCCTAGTCAAGAGGACTCAACTGTGTTTATTCGTCTCACTCACTCAGCGTGTATATATATATATATATATATGTACGTTATATGACTAATACAACGATTATCAGTTGCTTTTCCAGCTTCTATCGGAATTCACGTCCCTCCCCCTCTCCCTCTCTCTCTCGCTGTGTGTGTATGTGTATGTGTATGTGTGTTTTGTCAAATTGCGCATGCACAACATAAAGAAGAACAAAAAAAAAAAAAAAAAAAAAAAAAAGAGAAAATATGCCAATTTGAGTGGTGGCTCTCAGTTGGAACTGTCTGCCCATCCTCCGATTCTTCTCCCACTACAGGCACATATCATTGCCGACTACTCACTTTAAACTGCATGCATGTACGCCGACAGTAAAATGTAAAGGAATATATATACATATATACATATATACATGTGTACAGTAAGGGAAAGAAACAAAATAATAATAATAATGAGGGAGGGGGAGGGGCTGTTGGAAAGAAGATATCGACCTCACTTTTTATTTTCATTCCTTTTTGCGGTCCTTTTGTCCCTTCTTCCTCCTTTCCCGTTCTATTGATGAATACCAGGTTTTATTTACATCATCCATTCAAAAGGAAAGCAAAATAAAAGAACAACAACAAAAAAAAAAAAAAAAAGAAGAGAGAGAGAGAGATAGAGAAATAGAGAACCACGTATGACTCTTCTTTTTTTTCCTTTTTTTCTCCTCCTCTGATCAAAACCCCCCATGTTCTGTCCCTTTGTCTTTTATTATCTTCCTTCCGTTCGTGTTCTTGTCGCATGTGCTTCCGGACGCATAACTCCAGTGTGCTCCATCACAAACTTTGCCATGCGAGCAAACCACTCGTGAATCCCCGGGTGGAAAAGTGCGACACCCCCGCCGTCGCCCGCCAACATGGACTTCAGGAAACATACCACCTCCGCAGAGACGGCGCAGCGGGGTAAAAGGGACTCGATGCAGCGCTCCATCATTTCATCGTCTGTCACAGTAGAAGGAACAACAGACCGTACAAACAATTCAATGAAGCCCATAATAATTTTAGATTTTGCCTCATCCACTGCCGGTACCTCACCCACGCCATCTGCTGTGGCGGTGCGAAGGGCAGAATGCATGTCCCCTTCCAACTGGCCAGCTATTTCACCCTGTTTCGTGGAAGCCATACTGTTGTTGCCAGGGGTAGCACCCAACGTACTATTGAGCAGAAACTCCACGGTCGTTCCAGCACGTACTCCTTTTTTATTGGTGGACGGTGCGGTTTTTGCCGTCAAGAGTACCAAGGCCTCACTCAGCTGCTGCGACAAGGCGGTTTCCACAGAAACTTCTGCTTCTCCTCCTCCTACTCCAATTCCACTTCCACCTGATCCAATCCCTGCTCCCGATGACGTCATGACTGGGAATGATAATAAATTTTGCATCAACTGCAGTGTTTTCGCAGCTTCGGAAAACAATATCTGTACCTCCTCCAGTGGTAGCTCAAACATAACGCATCGTGTTCCATTCCACGTGTGGGCAATTAGTGCGGAGCCACTAAGAGTTTTTGCCTCCATCATGCTCACGGTGGATTTCGTTGTTGAGCGATGTGATTTTTTACTTTGACTCTGCGAGTTCTTTTCGTTGATCGGAGAATGTTGTGTGGCGTTTGGATCGTGAACAGGTGATACAAAGAGCACAAATGTCATCATTGCCGGCGCATGGGTAGCTCTTGTTGGTAGGGTGCATGCAAAGCCTCCTGCAGCACGTGCGTAACTTTCCCCACCTCTTGGGAGAGGTCCATTGGCGTTACTACTGAGATTTCTGTTCACATCACGCATAAAGGACTGGCAGATCACTGTGTTCACCTTTGGTATACCTAGATTCATGAGGGTTGTGGTTGAAAGCAAAGACGGTGGCCTATCCATGACAATAGGTGGAAGGAGAGACATTGTTCCTCCTGCCGCATCCATTCCTGCAAAAGAAGAGTACCGTGTACGACCACCCTCTCCAAGACGCCCCTGTCCTTGTCCTTGCTGTTGTTGTTGTTGTTGTTGTTGCTGCTGTTGTTGTTGTTGTTGTTGTTTAATTTGTGTCTCTCGTGTGACGTCGTCATACCAAAGATAATACCCGCTGAGAGGGGCTGTCCGCAACTGCAGGTACGCGCGAATAAGTTGCAAAGCCGTTTCGAGGTCCAATAACTCCCGCGGTGGAAACACGTACTGCAACGATCTCTCCATATGCAGGGAAGCAAATGCAGCGACAAGGATAGGCAGTGTGACGGTGTTCTTTAGGGCAGCTTCCTCTCTATCCTCACGGGAACGAGAAGGGGGACGTCGTGGCTCCTGTGAAAAGACCGGCGTCACGGCCCTTCCAAAACCCACACCGCTGCCACTCATATCCTTTTCCGAGACGTTTCCTAAACTGCGCTGCGTGGATCGAATGACGGCAGTGATATTCTCCGGGACAACCAACTCTGTCCCAATATGAATGACCTCCTCGCCGTACAGGGAGAAGATACTCATACCACTAAATACATGGAACCTCATATCTTCCACAAATTTCGCCAAAATCACGCATGTGGCAGCCATGATGTGAAACGCTCGGTCTGCACGTGACAGTAGCGCAGCCAAGTTCAATAACGCCAGGCGCAAAATGTTGTAATCGTGTGTGCCACACGCCACCACTCCCCTTATAACATCTATCAAAAGTCGTACGGGCTGCTGCCGCGGTAAATCCAGCAAAAGCAACACATCCTCCTCATTGAGTTCCTCGGAGTATATGGCGTCTCTCACATGATCCACGGAATTTTGCTGCTCGTTTAGCAAATGCGGCTTAAGAAGACACAAAACACGTGCAAGTATAAATTGACTTTCGATCAGTGGCGTGGGATGGGCGGAGGTGTCGTATCGCGGTGTAAGTACCGAGATGGCATGCTGTAAGACCCCCTCTGCAAGTTCCAGCTTTCCTATACGCATGTATTCTTCCGCCAACAGGTTTACTGCACGGTGAAGGAAGACTGCCTCCACATTCCACGCCACAAAGAATCGCCGAGGTAAAGAATTCTCCGGAAAAGGTGAGAGTTGTTTTCTCTCTAGAAGAGACCCAGTTCCAAGAAGCAACCCATACGTCTCGCAATATTCCTGCAGTGCTTTCACGGCAAATTCAAACATTTCCACAGACGAGGTCGAAAAAGAAGAAGGAGAAGAGGATGTTTCCCCTTGTTCGTTTTCTTCGTTATGTAACAAACGCTTCAAGGATCCCGCTGCCAAAGATATCCAGGCATGAAACATGTCAATACGGTTGTCGGAACTTAATGAATGAGATGCCTTCTGCAAAACACACAGCGTCTCAATGGCATCTGTTAGGGATCCCGTTCTGGCGTTAATGGCGGAGCTGTAGAGAGAAAAGACCCGGCCACTAAATGGATCACCACACTGCTCACACAAGGCAATCGCATCACGTATCACTTGCTGCGCCGCCATGTATTCACGAATCCGCACATGGTTAACTACCATAAGTTCATACACATCACACCAAAAGATGTGTGTTGCAACAGTCCAGAGGTACGACGGGGCGCTGGTAGCTGTGGGAGCAGTGTTATTGCTTTCAACATGCGCATTGAAGTTCGTCACCAGCGCTCGTAAAGTCGCCAGCGCCTTCGAAGGTTCCCCTCGCGCAGTATAAATTCTGGCAAGGAAAAGCATGGATGTAAGGCGCACGTACGTCTCTTCCAGTTCATGACCTCGTTTTATTTGAACGTCTCCTTGCACAGGTGAGGTGATTCTCTCTCGTACTGGACTCTTCCTGCGCGGAGTATCCCCCGTGGATGTATGCCCCTTTTCCTGTTGCCGGGCAATCAACAATTGTAGTATTTGTTCCGCGGCATTTAACGCCTCAATACATGCTGAGTCACTGAAACCATGCAAAGAGATCCGTTGAAGGCTCCGTGAACGAGCCGAACGTCGTTCGCCCATGAAAGACGTTTGTTGCATCGCGAAAACGCACCACACATACGCGGACTCCTTCGAGCCAAGAGTCACCAGAAAGTCCGCGATAGCAAGTTCCACACGCTGCGATAGAAATGGACCATAGCATGCAGCAACTGCTTCCTGTAGTAGGCTGCCTCCACCACTTCCAGAAGTAACATTCGATAGCAGAGATGGCGTGGATGTCATGGGATTCGAGGTCACTGCATTAGCGACCCCAACACCGAGACACTGCGTCAAAAAGGTTTGGATGCAGGCCACATTGTCGCTCGTCAATGGGAGCTCCGCATCATTATACAGACCCTCCTGGGATTGATATTGTTGCTGTTGTTGTTGTTGTTGTTGTTGTTGCTCTGCCTGAGGCTCCGCATGTCGACTAGGGGAGTTCGACCCTCCATCCCCACGCTTTGTGTTTTTTCCAATTTTGCTCGTCTCAACACCCTCAATCAATGCCCGTACACGGAGTGCCGTGCCATCCAATGCCCCACGTGGAATTCGAACCCCTTGACATACATCTCGCAGTATTTTCATGGAGGCCCTGTAACTTCCAAACTTGGATGCCGCCATCGCCTGCACAAGTCGTGCCTCAGCGGTGAAGGCAACATGCCGCATATGTATCCGCGCAAAGTACTCGGTCAATGACGCAACCATTGCCGCATAAAAGTAAAACTTGAATCGCAGCAGTTCCCACGCAAGGAAGAGCATGTGATGTGCCAACTGCGGAATCAACGTAGGCATGGTATCCCCAAGCCGCGGGAGAACAACGAGGTCCTCTAGCATAAAACCCCCAAAATCGCGCAAATACTGCGGAAAATTACTCGTTGTGCCTTGTTCAAGAAACCGCTCAAGAATCCGAGCAGCCAGCAAGTAACAATTCACAGCTTTCCCTTGCTGCTCACGGTATATATACATGGCGAGCGATGTAATCGAAATGACGGCCAGTAATAAACGGGGAAGCCCAATCTTTGGAATTTGTAGCTGTGCCCACGTCTCAGGAGGACGCTTCAAACTATCTGGTATCTCCAACGCGGCGTCAACAGCCTCAATCCAACACCGTTCCGCCTCTAAACGCTGACGATGCAGCAGGTAAATCCGCCCCAATTCGTAAAGCTGCTCCGAAAGTGGTCCAAAAAGACGTCGCCGCTGCAAGTATGTCGTAGCAGCCCCAAAACGGGAAATCACTTCACGCGGCGGCGGGTGTCGTAAGTTCCCCCCGCGTCCTACCAGCTTTACACTGCTTGCCATTTCCAGACTCATCCTCGATGCGGACTCCGTTTCAACAAAAGACGTCTTCCCTATTGAGCCTTCCCTAACATTCCGCTTGGATGGCAATTGCGTTCGTGACAGACGCTGAGTGACACGCTGATACGCCTCTGTCGTTGTGTATTTCTCCCACGACAAACGGGCATTGCGTACAAGTTGTTTTTGTATCGGCTCATTTTGACGTAACATTTCGTATTCCTTAATAAGTTCATCTTCTTGCGAGATAACAATATTACGCCGCATGCTTAATGCAAATGGCAACAAGTCATCCGCAAAGAATCCACCGGTCAACTTGTGCACTTCCAGGCAAAGCTCAAGGGAAGCAAACTGACACGAAAATTGCGTGGACCGTAGGAGGAACATGAGTTGATCAATAATTTTCTCTGCCGGAATCGCCGAGCCAAATCGCAGTGCAATTAGCGCCGTGGCATCGGCACCGTCGATTCGTATAGGCTCCGGCACCACACCCTGACGTGTTTGAAGATTCTTTTTCATTTTTTTCTTCTTCGGCGACACCGCTAGCGCCTGCTTCTGCTCGTCTGTCTTTTCTTGCTCCATCATCTTGGCGATCCTCTTCTCCACATCTGTAACGTGCGGCCGCAGTGAAGACATTCCCGCCGAGACCTGATCCGCAAGAAAAGCCCTCATTTCCGTCAGCCACTGCAGGTGTACAACTCTGCGTCCCTTCTCTTCCGCAGTTTGGACCTCACGTGTGCGCCACTCAAGCCACCGTATCAGACGTGCGCGTTTCACATTGGCGAGGTGCACCAGACGGGCCTCTTCATACTGTCCGGCTGCGGTTGCGTACGAGTGCAGCGACGGCACCCGTCCCTGAAAATGCAACTGCTCCTCGAGCTCCACATTCCGCCCAACCTTCACAGCGGCTGGATGTAGAAAATCCACATCGCGGCGGTAGTCAACGAAGCCGTTCCACAGCAAGAAGAATACCTGCAGCAGCGCACGTGCAAGTGGAAGTATACGCGGCCCCCATTGTATCAACTTTTCATGGCTGATCGACAACTGCATCGCGTGACTGCCCTCTTTGCCTAAATCCGCGCAATCAAAGGATACTCTGGCAGTTTTAGGCGTCATTGGCAGGTCTTCTTCACTGGAGGCTTCCTGTTGGTTTTGTTTGGGAGACAATAACTCTTCATCTCTCAGCGTCGTATCCGGCGGCTCCTCACACACAAGCATGCGCAGGCCGTCAATGGCCTGCGAAACGGTTGCAAAGGCACGGGAAGGAAAACCACATCGATTAAAAAGCACCGCCGAGCGTACCGCATGTTGAATAAAACGTTCTTCATCTTCCTTTTCTTCGGCCTTCAGCTCCTCAGCCCGCGTTAAAGCCGCATCCTCACTCCGCCCCCTCGATTTCTGCCCGGGTCGCGCGTTCGTAACGGGAGTTGCCGTCTGATCACCTTCTTGAGCCGGTCGTTGCTGTCGCTGCTCCAACAACTTTTGGGCGATCACGGAAAGGTAAAAATGCAACTGCGCCTGATACGGTGCGTTAAATTGAAGAATGCGACCTCGCAGCCAACGAAACGCCTGCCGACGACGCACATACGCGAGACCCCGCGTAAGTTGCCGTAACATCTGCTGTTCCGAGAGGGTCCAATGCCGTTCATCGGTGTCGGCAAAATGATGGGCCTTTTTTTCCTCCGCTGTTGACGTTGTTGTTCCCGCTGCTCCTCCCTTTGCGGCGAGTCTACCCTTCTGCCGTTTTCCCTTAGGCAATGTTTCCTCCTCTACTGCCTTCTTCTTGAGTCGTGAGGGTGTCACCAACATGTAGCCCTCGTTCTCCAACCAGTCGTTCATGTGCTCCATCACAGATTGCTGATGCTCCTGTACACTCTGTTTCAGTTTCTGAATGACCTGTAGCGCATCCGTCGCCACACGACGCGCAGCCGCGATATCACCCAGACGGAGAAGATGCTCCACGACATAAACCGCAGCCCTTGCATAAAGCGGGTCATCGGCTGCCTGCTGCAGGCAGTCAAGGACGACAGACGGTGTCCTGTCGGTAAGTCCCCTCACCACGCTCAGTAGCCACAAGGGAACACCCACGAGATTCTCAGCCATCAACACCGATTGCACACGATCGGAGGTTTCATCTACCTTTGGACCAAACAAGTGCGTAAGAAACGCATTCACTCCTGGTACCGTAAAAAGAATCTCCCCCAGCAACTCCATAAATTCAATTGGGACACAATCGTCAAGAATCGTGTCGGGTACGGCGTAAGCACCCCCTGGAAACGCCGGGGCCGTCAAGTTGCCCGTTGTAGGTCTTGTAGCTGCCGCCACTCCACCGGAGACGTTGTTTGCCTTTTTTCCCGTTGCCCGAGGGACATTGGTGCTAGCCGGTGGAGGGGAGATTCTCTCGTCCACGCCACCTTGATCAGAGCGTAACACCTTCTGCACGGTCATCGCACCTCGGCGTACATTTTCTTGATAGCGAATTTGCCTTGGATTGGGATGATTGTAGATATTTCCCCACACGTGCATGAAGAGACGGAGAAGCAACTCATACCATCCTTGAATGGAAACAGGCATAACAGCCAAACCACCCTTGGCGCTATCGAAAGCGTCATGAACAGCAGACTCCACATCAGGACCCGCTGTGGCCATCTTCCGCACAGTTTTGAGAAGCGCATCAATTGTGCGGGCTGCCAATAGTTGTACATACGCATCACTCCAAACAGATGTGGGTTGTCGCATCAACGCCTCACACAACGTCGCAAGCGGGAGCAACAAAAGCGGATAGTAGTTTTCATCCGTAAGGGATGGAAGAAGTGAGTTAAAAAGTTCAAAGGCACACTGTAGCATTAAACCACTATCCTGTACACGACCCGCAAGATCCATGGCAAATTGGATCTGGTAAGCAATACGCATATGCCATAACTGTACTTTTTTAAGTTCATATCTCTGTTCAAATGGTACATCCAACATGACACTTTTTCCAATAAAAGACATGAGACCAGTTCTTTCAAAGTTTTGGTACGGAATGCGACTTGCCTCCACGGTGGATACCCACAAAAGTGCTGAGACAATTGTCTGAAGTTTCAGCTTCGATGACACCGCCAATACCTCCTCATTGGTGCGCAGTAAAAACGTGGATGCAGAAATATATCTGGATTCAGATGCGGTCTTATTTTTTGAAGTTTCCATCCCCATGTCTGGTTCCTCGCGCGTTTTGTCGTCCTTATCACTTTTCGCAAAGACTGAGTACAAAACATCCTTTGCACGCTCCGTCATCTGATTAAATCCCAATTTCCCACATGTAGACACGGCGTAGCACGAAATCATAAAGGCGGAATAGGCGCTCTCCCCTTGCTGCTTTGTATTCAAGCCAAGCGGCTGAGTTTGACCCCTATTGTCCGCATGACGATGCAAGAGATGAAATGCTTCTTCCAACATTTCACGTTGTGTTTTCATCTGCGGTTGGTGCGGCGCAAGGCACATGAGAATGAGAGCATGAAGAAGATCATCACCCTCGTCTCTTGCCCAGGCTAATAACCGCCCCTTCTCATCCTCACTTACACGCGAAATCTCTGGTTGCGACTGAAGGAAGGACTCAAGAACGTTCGCCTCCTTCACAGTCGGGGTTCCATACACCTTCGTGTTTGCCTGCCGTTCCATTACCAGCTTAACATTCGATTTGTGCTTCTCCAACGCAGCATAATGTTGACGAAGAATGGCCAGGGTCCAACGCATCTCTATCAGCCAGCGGGTCAACTCCGTTCGCATGTCACTTATCTCGTGGTGCAGACGAATTCTTTCTAGTTCCTCTTCGCTTTCATGCGACCCAACAAATGTCTCCTGCACGGGACTTCGTTTGGGTGCCAAATTTAACAGACTGTTACCTCCCTTGACGCCTCGTCTCCCCGTGTGTGTTTGTTTCGAGTGCAGTGCAAGGGAGCCAAGTGCCATTCGGATGGAGGCAATTGCCATGCGTGCTCGATTGCAGTTCCTGCGTATCGCATTCATGGAACAATCCAACGCATAAAATCGTTGATCGGTAACACCATCCCCCCTTTTGCCGTTAGACACCTTCGCCAACACCGCCCTTGGGCCAAAGATGACATTCCCCCTTCTGGTGGAGGCGCTGCCACCACGACTCTCACCACCACCACCACCTTGATTTCTGTCACTTTTATCCGCCGTATCCATCTGGTTGGTCGACATTTCCAACTCCAATTCTTGCAAATACGCCAAAACAAGATGGCCAATACCAACACCATCGGATACCCCGCTGCTCAACTTGGCCCCCAGGTAGGCACAAACAACTCTATGATAGATATCCGTCGCATCAAACCCCTCACCTTCCTCCGCCTCTTCTTCTTCTTCTTCTTCTTTTTTCTCCTTTCCTTCTTCCCCCTCCTCTCCGCCGCCATCCCGAAACATCATTTTGTTTGCCGCCACATTATAAGTAGGAGAAGGGGTGTTCAATGCATAATTAGAATGCAGTGAGGATGGTGCAAAGGCAAATGCATGTTGTTGAAGAAGACTAGCACACTCATTCATTAGCCCTTTATAAATGGCGGCAAAGCTACCAGAAAGCGCCGTAGATGTACCATGCAAGGGCGGTGATGGTAAGGATGGTGGCGACGCTGTGGTGGCCACAATATCCTTCTTGCTTTGTTGCAAAATGCTAATCGCACTGCTATTAGTGGACCCAGCACACAGTTCAATGAGTCTTTCCAACTCCTGCGCGACGGATGCAAGTTCTTTGAGACGTACTCTTTTCCCTAAACCCACTCGCCGCATTCGTTGTAGAAGGTGTAGGGAGACACACACCGTGTCCAGAAGATGCATCTGTAACATTTTCTTGGATGGCGGTACCATTTTTTTGTTATTTGTTGGTTTCGTAATATTTCTCTGTTTCACATCGTCCTCCTTCTCTCCGTAGCGTTGCAGCAGAGAAGAAATACTGCAATGACATAAACAATCGTATAATTTCGCATCATTTCCATTGTACAGTACACGATGCATAAGCAGTGTCAACAACAGGACCTCCTCATTCATCATGCCTTCGCTGTGAAGTGTTAATGTGGTGAGATTTTTTTCAGCATCCACTCCTGCCCCACCAAGTGTTGTCACATTGTAAGTTGAAATGCTGTATAACAGACGTTCAAGCGTTATGCTGGCAAGGAATATTTCATCTTCTGCAGCGGGAGTGCTCGATTGGACAACCACCTGGGTTCGGTTAGACCGCCGCAGTCCGCGATCGGTTTTCCGGCGGCTCGTCGTCTCGTTGGCTGCCGATGTCTGCTGCCGCTGCTCCTGTTGCTGCTTACACATCAACTCCAGCGCCGCAAAGTCCTCGGGAGATCCCTGCTGCACCACATCCGGATTCGCCTGCACGTAGGAGCAAATTGCAAAGCGTGCAAGAAACTCCAGCGCCTCAACTGCCCATATACGAAGTTGTTTAATCGACGACATGGTTGTCAGTGAGGCGTGGTGTGAAGAAATGAGAGGGCTACTAGTCACGTGGTCCCCAGCCCCTAGAGGCAACGTAGATCCTGTTGCCAATGACAGCAAAAACTGCACTAGCCTCCCCCACACTCGTCTTGCCACGATATCTTTGTTGAAAACCTCTTGTTTTTGCTGTTGCTTTTGCTTTGATTTTGATTGCTGTTTCCCCTGAACCTTGGATTTACCCTCATTCCCTTTTGAGGTTGATGCAGCGGCAGGTGTCGTAGGCGCTGGACGCTTTGGCAGCTCCACTTTGAGTAACACTTGCCATGCTCGATCAATCATCTCAAGACAATTGGATGGCATTTCCTCCATAATCAGTTCCTGCTCGGCCATTGCGCTTAATGTCGTTGTAGATCCCGAGTGTCCTTGCTTGGGCAATGACACATTCTCTGTCACCCCTATTGACGCGGTATTTGCGGTAGCACTGCCGCCTATCGTCGTGCTCTTCACGTACCATTTATATCGCATTACAGTCAAAAGGACATGATCCATGGCTTGCATCAATATTTCTTGACTGGCCTCTGGTGGTGGCACCGTATCAAGGAACTCAAGATGAATCAACTCCTGAACCTTCCGTGCCGCCCTCTGCGCAACGGAGAGCGCCTCACTATACATGGCCTGTTTCTCATAACAAGCGGCAATAAGGTCGTAGAGGCGAAGACGCCACGGCAGGTACCGCACGGTCGCCAATTTAAGCGTTGCAGATTCGCATATTTCCAAACAAAGCGCAATGTGACGAGTCACGTGCGAAGCGGCGTCACCCACACGCTCCCCCGCTTGTCGCAGCATGTGAAGACACATCTCATACACCGTGATACTGCCATTAAAGAGAATGTGATAGCTGTCATCTGCGTTCAGCCTCGCAATGCCAAGCAGGCATGAAGTCATGGCATCAATATAACTTGCCGCAAGCTTCATGGTTTCTAAATCCCCTCTCGGGAAACCATCACCCCCGGAGTATACACAGTAAAACTGACACGTGTATCGCATGATATCGTACTGCGCCAAAAGACGCCATGGGTAAAGAATTTCTTTGGGTTGCGCCGTAACCTTCTCTACCCCAAAACGCAACACTTGTGTATCGTCCGCATCCAGCAGTCCCATCTCATTGAATGCACCTCTAGTAGCGCTTGTTCGTGCCGCAAGCCACGCCGCCTCAACCTTCTCCGCAGCCCCACGCAACACCTGTTGGATGTCCTTTTCCAGCGGATCTAAGCAGACATCGATCACTTCCTCGTATAACCCACGCGCCAGCAGATATTGACCCGCCGCAAGAAACTCCTCGGTCATCACCACAACCACGTCAAGCTCTATTGAAGGATGAGTAGGGGGTGTAAGAGCTGACGTGCCCGTATGAAAATCGGCGGCTACATCCGCCATTGCAGTCTTCTGTGACGTGATGGCGGTGTTGGTCTGTGTAAAGGGAGCCGAGTCGGACATAAACGGGATATTTTTGGGGCGCAACACCCCGGCTGCACGCTTCTCCGTCTCCTTCCCCGTTCTCTGCCTTCGCTCAGCAATAATGGATGGTGATAAGGTGGCGGGGAGAGATGGGAGGGTCCCTGTACAACTCATCGCGGCGGCACCGCAACGCACGTCTGTGATAAGTTGCCGCAGTTTTCCACGTTGCCGTTGAATGTCAGCGGAATCCGCAGCGCTGAAGTGAAGGCTAACCAAACGTCGTAACTCCACTTT